GAGAAGGAAAGAAAGAGAGAGGATAGCGAGAGAGGGGGGAAGGAAGAAGGAGGGGAGGGAGAGCAAGAATGAGAAAGGAGAAAGGGGGGAGAGATTGAAAGAGTGCGAGAAAGAGAGAGAGAGAGAGAGAGAGAGAGAGAGAGAGAGAGAGAGAGAGAGAGAGAGAGAGAGAGAGAGAGAAGCATGTGGGGAGAGAGAGCGAGAGTGAGAGGAAAAGAATCAGTCAAAATTGTAAGTGTAAAGCATCGAGAATCAAATCCAGCAGTATACAACTCGTAACTTTGTTTAGAGCATTAAAATTTTCGGATTTTCAAAATTGGAAAACAGTGTCAGTCAGAGCCACATTTAAAACAAACTGTCGAAAGGTGGGAAAATTAGATCCAGTTTGTGAAAACTGTTTCCAATAGATAGATAGATGTATGGACAGAAAAATACAGACCGACAGACATACAGACAGACAGATAGATAGATAGATAGATAGATAGACAGACATACAGATAGATAGATAGATAGATAGTTAGATAGATAGATAGATAGATAGATAGATAGATAGATAGATAGATAGATAGATAGATAGATAGACAGAAAACCTATTGTTTACCACGTATAAAAATCCTTGTAGTAAGTTAAAAGCATTAAAAACTTGCAGGCGTACAGCGTTAGGTTGTGTAACTCCCTGTTTTACCTCATCACTATCTTTAAACATTTTCCTGAACTATCACCTGTAACACTTAACACCTGCACGGGCTGGCCTATTTGCTTCTTCACGAGCTGAGATCTCGAGCCTGCACAAGGTAGATAGATAGATAGATTGATAGATAGATAGATAGATTGATAGATAGATAGATAGATAGATAGATAGATAGATAGATAGATAGATAGATAGATAAACAATTTACTGCTTATTATTAGTATAAAAATTGTATTTTTAAAAATGATGTAACTTGTATTCTTAAACCGTTCAGTTGTGTAACATTATCTCTATCTATACACATTTTCCTGAACTCTTTTCACCTGCGTGAGTTTGCCTATGCCTTTCCGAGCAGAGAAATCGTTCAGTGCATGCCGTGGCATTTTCTCTCCCTCATCCGTTTCCACAATGGTCTATTGTTACAGAACACCTTATCTATGGTCAGACTAGGGAGACGTTGATAGACAGAATGCATGAGAGGGGGTGAAGGATAGCAAACCGGCGAGAGATTGATGATTTTGGGTGAATGAGAGAAGGATACAGAGAAAGTGAGAAGAATAGACATAGGAGAAACTATTGTCTATCATGGGAGTTGACAGATAGATAGATAGATAGATAGATAGATAGATAGATAGATAGATAGATAGATAGACAGATAAATAGATAGACAGATAGATGGATAGATAGAGTGGGAAAAAACTATTGTTTATCATTCATCAACATTTGGCATATTGTATGTTAAAAAATAGGCCATAAGAAATAAGAGCATGTAGCTTGCAGTGTTATACCGTTCAGTTGTGTAACATCATCTCTATCTATACACATTATCCTGAACTATCACCTGGAACACTTCACACCTGCATGAGCTGGCCTAATGCCTTCCCGAGCCCCGAACAGAGAAATCGTTCACAGCATGTTGTGGCATCTTTGCTTCCGCCCGTTTTCACAAGGGTCTATTGTTACAGGACAGCCTATCTAAGGTCAAACTGGAGAGACGTTGATAGACAGAAAGCACAGTACGGGTGAAAGAGAGCAAAGAAACGAGAGATTGGTGATTTTAGGTGAATGAGAGAAGGATACAGAAAAGAGAAGAAGAAGAGAAATAGGGGAAACTAAGGTCTATAGGAGTAGATAGATAGACAGATAGATAGATAGATAGATAGATAAAAACGAAAATAATCAACGTGAATGATCTTTGGTTGCGACTCGCACAAATCTTTTGCAGAAAAAGCAATAATAAATAAATGTTCAAAGTAGATGGATTTTTCTACCTGTTTTCCATTGTTTTCGGAAAGATTTTGGCTCTACTACAAAAGTGACTTTTTAAATGACAAATTTAGACTGAAGTAAAGGTTGGTGAATATCATATTATTCTCATTTCTACTTTTATTTCAGTTAATTACTAGACAGTTCTTTCGCTTTTCCTTATGTATAATATTATATTAATCTATTTATGTATTCATCTATTTTGGTTTTGGGTTCTCCCCAGAATGAACATTCATAAGTCAGAGGAGAAGGGTGAAGGGGATGTAGATTAAATCTACGTAATAGAACTATAAAAATAACGGTAATGAAGTCTTAAACTACTGAGAAACAAGGGTAGAAAGCAGGGGGTTGGAATT